CCAGGAATTATAAATGTAATTTGTAAAAATATGCCCACTTCTTAATTAGAATTTCACCCAGCAACAATTTTTCTTGTTGTTTGTTTCTTCCACTGAGGGACAAACTAACAAAGGAGCTGAGGAAGGAAAAGAAAGTGAGGAAAGGGTCTACAAACTTCCCCATCAAGTGCCTAGAAGATACCTGGAGAAACTAGATTTATTTCTATTTTAAAAAGAGTTGCAAAGCAAAGTAAGGCTTATTGTATGATTAGTATCACATAAATAGATGATATAAGTCACAGTTAAATGACATGTCTGGGAGATATAGCAGAGATCATTATTCTAGAAGATGTATTGTCTGCGCCTTAAGGGAGATGAATGGTAAAAACTTGGCCACATCTGTTCATCAGCTTCCTGTTACTGTGACAAAATACCTGAGAAAAATCAACTTAATAAAGGAAAAGGTTTGGCTCATAATTTCAGTCCATGGTCACTAGCCCTATTACTTTGGACTTGTGATGGCACAGGACATCATCATAGTGGGAGCATATGGCAGAGGACACTGTTCATCTCATTGCAGCTGGGAAGTGGAAGATAAAGAAGGGACTACGGTCCCACTATTTCCTTTAAGGGCACATCCCCAATGACCCACCTTCCTCCCAGTAATCTCACCTTCTACAGGCTGGTGACCAAGCCTTCACCAGTTAAGATTTGGGGGACATTAAGATCTGTATAGACCTATATATACACCTATATAGAGACCACATTTGGTTGAACAATCCGGAAGGATCGCATGAATTCAAGTGTGAGAGAAACCAACTACATCAGAACCCAGGAGTATAAACCTCCTGGACTCGCAAAGTCTTAAAACCCTATTCTGATGCCCAGAGAAAATCTCTACTTAAGGTCACAGGATCTCATCCCCAATCTATTGCCCTTTGGTTTACACTCAGAACATCCCTGACTTATCACCTTTCCAGGAACAGAGAAGAGATTTATGAACTCAGTGGTAGGACTATTCCATTGAACCACTAGAACCGTCATTCTCCGTGTGGATTACTTTGGGGAGAGAGGGAATGGGGCAGGAGTGGAGAACATGTGTAACATCTGTAAGGCTTCATTTTATTGAAGAGGGAGGAGGCAGCCAGGGGATGGGGACAATCCAGAAGCAAATCCAATAAAAAATTAATATCGGTTCCTTTGAGAGAGACCACATATGAATATTTGCTCTACTGCCCTTTAATAGGAAAATATGAAGTTCCTGAAAGTATCTTGTTTTTCAAATAAAAACAATGGCATCATCAAATTATGATTCCTAAAGCTGTTTAATCCAGATACATTTTCATTTTGCAGCTGAAACTACTCCAATGGTGCTTTTGGTTTGTTTGTTTTCCATTTCTTAGGAAAGAGGAAAACTCCTTCAGTAGTCTCTGACCACCATTTAAAGAATTTGCTACTCTCGAGTTGCTCAATCAAGCTTAGCTCCATCTGGCTGCTACCTGTCCTCTACCAAGTGCAAGACGTATCTGTATTTGTATGTTTGCTATCACTTTTTCCCATTACTCTCCACCAGGATATAAGCTCCATGAGGGTAGGGACCTTGTCTCACTTACTACTGTGTCATATCCATCTATCATAATGCTGATCACAGGATTATCCCTGCTCCACAAAAATTTAATTGGCCTCATCTACCAATTTTCAACTAGATCCCACTCATCTTTTCAGGCTCCTCTGGACTTTTTAGCTTTGGCCTTGAGGACCAGCCCAGCTCCCACAAAGTTACCTGACACCAGACCACAGTAAGACTAACCTTGGAAAGAGGTGTTACATCTAGGCCTCTTCCGGGACTTTCCAGCACCAGCTTGGGCTCTTTGATATGTGTAAAGAAAGCCCTCAGTATATAGTTGCGGCCTATATATTTCATTTGATGTTTCTCCCTTACTCTTCTTTACCTAGAGTCCCTGAGAAAAGTATTTCTCTTCCCACCCTGCTGTAAGATTGCTGTTGGACATTTCAGAGTAGTTTCAAAACAACACCAAGAGCTGGGGGCAACAGTATGGTAGAGCACCTGTCTTGCATGCAAGAGTCCCTGGGTTCAATCCCTAGTACTGCAAAAACAAACAAATTAAAAAACTCATCCGTAAGCTGTCTTCTCTCATTTATTTAGCAACTTCTTAGCTCATTTATTTCTGCATTTTTTACTTTCACTGTAATTAACCATTTATTGTTAAGTTCTTACTTTCTCAAAGCATATGTAATAAATATAAAGTTTACTTTCTGGAGAAAACATTTTGTCTCACACACCAAGTGAATGTCTAATGGAGAAAATAACAACAAAATCCCCCCAAAACTCCATTAGAGATTTCTTCTTAAAATTAAAGTTGAATGTTTTGTTCTGAAAAAGGAAGAGTGGAGGACAAGGAAATATGAGTTCTTACCTGCTTGTCCGGAGCCCTCCTGTTGCACTCAGGTCAAAGAAGTCACTTCCTCACCCTTGGCCTAGGAAAGATCATCACTTGGGATGCAGATATCCTGCAGCCAGGAGGGAATTTCTATCCCAGGAACTTGAGGGGAAAAAAACCTGGGAAACAGAAGGGCCACAACTCCACCCAAGATACTGTCACCAAGGCTCTGCATCCGGGACTCTCTCCAAATTTTGCTGAATGAAGAAAGATGTCCCTTGTTTTTACATCCAAGAAAGAGCCAAACTGTCCCCTACCTATATGGGTGTGTGTGGGTCACCCAAATGGTTGTTTAGACCAGGGTTTTCTCCTATTTTGAGAATCACTATCATAGCTGCTCTTATTTTGTGGTCTCATATGTAGCTCAGGTGTTCAGATAAAATTGAAAACCTTTAGCTCCAAGTTTTGAAGTGTATCTGAATAGCTGATAAGTTCCTATGATAGTTCCAAGAAGCTATAGAATGCCAGCCAGCAAATTGGAGAATCAGGTACCCTTGATTTAAGTTTCCAGGATTTATTCCGAGATTTGCTGTGTCATAATCCTGCCGGCAAGATAATTCAGAGTGGTTTCCAGGAACCTCAGAGTTTGCCTAATACCACATGCTTACTTAGGAAGTCCCTGTTCCATGCACCTTCCCAGATCTGGAACAGTCATCTGTAAATAGTCCACACTTTGTGTTTTTCCTCTTCTCTACTTGTCAGGGCAAGTATGGCTCTTATAGTTGACACACCTATGGAAGTAACATAGTTTTCTGATCCTAGATTATAACCAACATTTATCACATACTTACTGTTTATCCGATGTTCTCCTAAGAGATTCATATACATAGTGCTTTTAACCTTTACCACAATCCTATGAATAGGTACCCTTAGCACCCATCTTATATATGAAAAACAGGTTAAGTGACTTTTCCAAGGCAAGTGGCTAGTAAGCGTTGGAGCAAAGATTCAGACCCGCTTAAGGCCTGAACTATCAGGCCACCTTGTGTCTCTGTGAGCTGTCCTTTCTGCTTTGGGGATATAGAAGAAGGGAGAAGAGGCCTCACACAACTGATTTCTGAGTTCAAGAGGGAAAGGATAACCATCCCAAAAGATTATAAAAGCAGATTGAAAAGAAAGTGAGAAATTTAGGCCTAAGGAATTTGCTGCCAAAGGTCTGTCCAGGGGGACCCCTTGATATGAAGAAGAGGCAGATGTCTGCCGGTGAACTGTTCAGTCTGACTGGTGACATATGGAAGGATTTATAAGCGCTCTGAGTTACATGTGTGGGAATGCTGAAATATTTGAGTAGAGCCTAGGTATAATGGGTACCATAAACCATTATTCCAGCCTGGCAGTTGTGAACAAACAGGGGAGCAAACCACTAGAAAACTCTGGGAAATGAAGTTTCTTTTTCTTTTGTTTTCTTCTCTTCAGACGTTGTGGGGAATGTGGTCGAGAAAAGGAGACCTAATTCCACTCTGGGACTCTCACATTCTGTGCCACAAAACCCAGATGGCTTAAATCCTAGACTCTTCTCCCCGCAGGAAGGTTTCCAAACTGCGCCAGGGCTCTTCGGAGACTCGGTTCTTCCTCTCTAATTTTGCATGTGGGCACCTTCTCCCCTCCCCTTGTGCCTGGCGGAGAGGGCGTGTTGCGAACCGCCTTGTGGCGGGGCTCCAGCAGCCGCAGCTGTGCACGATCGGTGGGGGGATGCAGGGGGAGCCCCGGGGACAAGCAGACCTCGGGATGCTCTGCGCAGAGCGCTCCGCCGGGTCCCGGCACGCCCGCCCGCCAGTCCAGGGAGCTAGCCTTGCACTGCGCGGGAGACAAGAAGTAGCTTGCTTACAAAAAGACTATTTCAGCACGGTGCATAGGTAATTAAATGTATCTTTAAAAGAAAAATGGGCTGTGGGGTGTAAAAGCTGGGTCGGTGGGGCGTTCCCTAGGCAACAGGCTGAACATCGTCACTCCTTAGCAAACCTGTCACCCGGCCATGGCTCTTGTCCGGTGTCTAAGCTCCGGAAAAATAATGAAGGATATGGGTGGGATCTGGTGAGTGCCAAGAGAAATTGCTTTTCTTGTGTTTAAATTCGGATTAGAAAAGCCAGAAGATCATGATTACTGACTCCATAAATCCATAAATAGACTGACATAGGGCTGGGGTTGTGGCTCAGTGCTAGAGCGCTTGCCTAGCATGTGTGAGGCCTTGGGTTCAACCCTCAGCACCGCATATAAAATAAAGGAATATACCAGCAACACTTGAAATTCATCCTTGCAATAAAAAGGGGTTAAAAGAAAAACACTCTTTGCCTCTTGGTAGCATCAGGACTGTGATGGAAAACTCCCGAACTCCCAAGGAATATGCACTATGAGTGTGTGTTTTTCCAAGTTCATTTTATGCTTTAAGGCTGCGACCCATGGAGCAAGGACGGGATTGGGCCGTCTGGGTGGGCGTGTGCCCGCAGTGTGTGCTCTCCTTCCTAACCATGACAACATAACTTTCTCTTTGCTTTATTTACCAGACTAGATCTCAACAATGGGGCATGTATAAACTTCTTGTATGTTTGCTCTTTTCAGTTCTAGGGAAAATCCGAACCGCAGTGGGCAGTGCCCAACTTCTCATGGCCCAGAAATTCTACCAGTTCAGAGAACTGTGTGAAGAAAACCTGGTAGGTAATATGTCCCATCCCTATGATCTTCCTGTTCCTACAGCACCATGAGACCAGCACCAACTAAACTAGAACTGATGTTGAATCCAGTCAAGACTCCCAGGAGTCTCACACCTGGAATACAGAGGCTTTTAGATGAATCTCATTTCCCACTTTTCTTAAAATTAAAAATATTTTACACTTAAAGAATCTTAGGAGGAGGAAAAAAAAATAAATAAACAAGTTCAAACTCCATTTCCTGCTCTTTGTAACTGAAAATTTTCCATTTTCCTGGTTTTCACATGATATCTCTGATTTTATTATTCTACCAAAATGCAAAGCAGTCTGGTATTTAAAAAATGATGTTACAAAGAAAATAATTTTGGATCGTGATTCTTTTTCTAAAATAGACAACAATGACTATTTCCTACTCAGAGTGTTCTGTTTTAATTCAAAGGGCAGAGTTCAGAGGTGTCACAAAGTATAGATTTGGTCTCCTGAGACAAAGGAATAATTCACTCTTCTGAGCATACAAAAAAAAATAATAATAAAACAAAACAAAGAAAGAAAAGTGCCACTACCAACAATGGCATTTTTTCCACCAACAAGAGCATTTTAAAAGTTGATTGCAAACTAAAAGGGCAAGAGCTTCCTTACAAGTGCTTTGGGGAAAAAAAAAACGCTATTGTCTCTATAAACAATTATACAAGAATATCTTTTATTGCACAACTGCTTTTGTCAAACTGAATCTAAAACAAAGAAAATAAAAAAGCCATTTATTTGTTTGTAAAAAAGTGAAAACATGATTATTTGCAATCCAAATGACCCAAAATATGATTTGAGAGTTTTAACTCTGTATCATGGCACTTTGTTTCTCCTCACAAGGAATCTCATTTACAAGGACAAATGCAGACTTGAAGTCATTTATCTAGCCTGGGCTCAATCAAGAAAAATATAAAGCATGAAAAATTAGCACTCTCCATTACTCTTCTCTAGGCTTTTTTTTTTTCAAATATTTCCTTTGGGTGCCCCCCCCCACACACACACACACACACATTGATAGTTTCTTTTCTTCTCTCTCAGCAAATATTATCTGACCCTTTTTCTACATTCACAGAAGTCTATTCTATATTATGAGATAATTTCTAGTAGTAAATATATTGATAAGTGATCAGTTGAACAAATATTTTATTGAATTTCAGCTATGTGCCAGATGCAGAAATTCCACAAGTTTGCAAATTTGCTAATGTGTCACAGATTTTTTTTTTTTTTTAAGTACTGGAGATTGACCCTAAAGGCCTCACACTTGCTAGACAAGTGCTCTACTACTGAACTATGTCTCCAGTCCTTTTCATTTAATTTTTTAATTTTTTTGGTGCCAGGGATTGAACCCAAGGGTGCTTAGCCACTAAGCCAGATCCCCAGCCCTTTTTATATTTTATTTTGAGACAGGATCTCACTCAGTTGCTGAGGCTGGCTTTGAATTTGTGATGCTCCAGCCTCATCCTCCCAAACTGCTGGGATTACAGGTGTGCGTCACTACACCCAGCTTCATTTTATTTATTTTCTTGTGGGAGGAGGTACCAGGAATTGAATTTAGGGACACTTCCTAGCCATATCCCCAGCCCTATTTTTTATTTTATTTAGAGACAGGTCTTACTGAGTTGCTTAGCACCTTGCTTTTGCTGAGGCTGGCTTTGAACTCGCAATCCTCCTGCCTCCGCTTTCAGAGCCACTGGGATTACAGGTGCGTGGCACAGAACCTGGTTTCATTTTACTTTTTGAGACAGGGTTTCACCAAGTTGCCCAGGCAGAGGCATGAGATACCAGGTCTTTCCTATGTCACAGATCTTTTTTATGTGTGTGTGGTGCTGGAGATTGAACCCAGGGCCTTAGTGCATGCAGGCAAGCACTCTACCAACTGAGGTATATGCCAAGCCCACAGATCTTATTTAACTCGATTCTTTGTTCTTTAAATGTAAGAAGGCTCATAGGAAGCCATAGGATCCAAACAGGCCAATAGGTGTGTGAGGAATAAGTCACCAGGTACATATCACAGGGAACATATAGCACACCCTTGTTAAAAAAAAGAAAAAAAATTGATGAGCTAGTTTATTATGAAGTAGAATGAAAATATTGTACAGATTTTAAAGATGGAATTGTAGCAAAAATTTTTTGAAAATTTTGCTAATTTCTAGGAAATATTAACCTTGTTAAAGCCAGCTTTTTTTTAATTTTTTTTTTAAGAGAGAGAGAATTTTAATATTTATTTTTTAGTTTTCAGCGGACACAACATCTTTGTTTGTATGTGGTGCTGAGGATCGAACCCGGGCCGCACACATGCCAGGCGAGCGCGCTACCGCTTGAGCCACATCCCCAGCCCCTTACAGCCAGGTTTTGATGTTTCCTCGTCCCTTATGGTCTCATATTTCTTGGCCACTGGAGAAACTTGGGTGGCAAAATATGAGAACCACTGCTAGGAAGTGGACTGAAACAGTGTCCCATGGGGGAAGGGGGGCCAGTGGTACTGATTAAACCAGGCCCTTGCAGAGAAGGTCAAGAGCCTACCAAGTGCTAATTGCTATGACAACTTTTAGATTGCCAACTTTTAGATTTCTGATCTGTTCAATCCTCACGACCATGTTGGAGTTAATAAAGATATCATTGTTAGGATGATTTTACAGATAAGAAAAATAGGCATGGGGCTGGGGTTGTGGCTCAGTGGTAGAGCGCTTCCTTAGCACGTGTGAGGCCCTGGGTTCAATTCTCACAGCACTGTGTATAAATAAATAAAATCAAGGTCTATTGACAACTAAAAAAATTTTTTTTAAAGAAAAAAAATTTAAAAGAAAACAGGCATGGAAAAGTCAAAAAAAAATTTAATTGGGCCCACATGGTAAAAAAAGGTAGAGCCAAGACTCAAATCTCAGTCTATTTGACCTCAGTCCCTCCAGTCCTACCCAGGATTTGAGTTCCACTCCTCTCCCTCATGGAGGAGTCCCCTCCACCCCTGGTGGTGGTACCATTTTGGTCTACAGCTGCATAAACGTGGCACTATGATTGGTCAGAACCAGACTCAGACCTTCTTTCTTGAGTTCCTACTCTGAAGAGCAGAAAAATAATAGCTCTTTATTTAGAAAACACTTACACATTATCCTAGACTTGATTCTCAGGCTTAGAATGAATGGACAAAAGTTGGCTTTTTCCAACATAACTAAACCAAGGAACACAGCCTCCTCCTCCTTCACTCCCTCCCACACCTCTGACCTCCAAGATGGCCTGGTTTAGATTCAGGAGTGAGCTGCCACTCCCTTTGTTGCAGGGGATCTTACGTGACCATTGCTTTAGGAGATGGCTAAGCACCAAAGCCCTTTCTCTCTTGTTTCCTTTTCTCTCTGTTTCCTTTTTATTTTTTTTTTTATAAAGTAAGTTAAATATATTTTATTTAGAGTTAGGGTCTCTCTTTTTTTTTTTTTAAGAGAGAGAGAATTTTTTAATATTTATTTTTTAGTTTTCAGCGAACATAACATCTTTCTTTGTATGTGGTGCTGAGGATCGAACCCGGGCCGCACACATGCCAGGCGAGCGCGCTACCGCTTGAGCCACATCCCCAGCCCTCTCTCTGTTTCCCCATCCATCTTTTTTGACAATGTGAGGGCAAAGAGGGAACAAACTGCCCATGATACAGAATTAAGGACATTTAATAAAGCATTACAAATAAGCATAAAAAAAAGAAAAGAAACGAAACATTATAGATATTTGGGCCCATTGAACATTACTAATGTGGGGTAAGATGGAGCATTACCAATCCAAAATCCAAAATCAGTAATACTCCAAAATCTGAAACTTTGGGGGCACCAACATGACACTAAAAGGGAAAAATTTGGGCTGGGGCTATAGCTTAGTTGGTAAAGTGCTTGCTTTGTATGCACAAGGCCCTGGGTTCGATCCCCACACCACAAAACAAAAAGAGACAAATTCTACCCCTTATCTCATATGACAAGTCACAGACAAAATGCAGGTGCACTAAAGATACTGTTTAAAATTAATTTCAGGCTAGGTACATAAGGTGTATATGAAACGTAAATGAATTTCATGTTCAGACTTGGGTCCCATCTCCAGATATCTCATTATGTATATGGAAACATTCCAAAATCTTAAAAAGCTCAAAATCTAACTTCCAGTCTCAAGGGTTCTGGAAAAGGGATATTCAGCATATATTAGTTCTTACATTGGTACATTGAAACAGTTTAGTCAATAGGGCTATTAGAAGACTTCACTAAACTCCAAAATATGAAGAGTTTAGTTTTTAGTTACTAATAAGAACAAATATGTTGTGATATCATAAAACTATTTGGGAGACACTTTGCAAAGAATATTATCTATTTATTCTGACTATCTAAATGTTGAGGAAACTCCCTTAAAAAAAAAAAAGAAACTAAATCAAAATACTATAAAGAGTTTTTTTTTTTTTTGTTAATTCAGGTATCACTGGAATGATTTGGTTTTGGTTGGGTTCTAGGGCCTCGAGCACGCTAAGCACGTACTGCCCCACTGAACTACTCCCAAACCCTAGAATAGATTTTAAAATACTGGATCCAGTGCTTCAAAATTTTGGAATTTATTTCTTCCAATGAATTTCAGAACTATGTAGTTTTAAAACTGTAAAATTATAAATACATCTTTATTTGTATTTATTTTGAGCCAGGCCAATAATACTAGTCCATTCATGGATATAAAAGTTCTTTACAAAAGAGACCAAAGTTGACACCAGAGAGAAGCTGCTGACACAGGCAGTTTCCTGCCATCTAACCAGTGCCTTAAGCCACTTTTGTGGATACCAATTGGCAATGAGTGTGACATCTTCAGTCTCTTGATGTGGTTTTTCTGTCTTATAAATTAAGGTTTATACTTTCTATTGTCATGGCTAATGTGAATAGGGACAAAGAAAGTCAATCCTTAACCACTGAAAAATGTTTATGAGCCATTACAGATATATATCTGTAATGATATATACACACACACACATATACATATGTATCTGTAATGATTCATTTCCTAGAATAGGAAACACACACACATAAATTAAGATTAAAATTAATCTTAATTTAAATTCCTCATTTGTTCTCTGAATAAATTGTATGAAAAGAGTCAAGTACCTACTCTAATAATAATATACTTTTTAATAATATACTTTATTACTCTAATAGTAATGTATTTTTCTCAAAAATGGTATTTTCATTTAAACACCATATGCTAAAATTCATCCTATAATAGGATTTTCCAAACATTTAGACCCTGCCCCCTTACCATATCGTACGCATGTCATCATTCTGTTGTCTCACAACAGAGGAATTTCACAACCTTGACATTTGAGAATCACTGTCTCAAAACGAGGAGTGTATAAAATTACCATTTGTAGCCTCACTTTTATCTCATATCTAAAAACTAAAAAGAACTGATCCTCCTTATGTTATTTGAAGTATTTGAAAATGCCTCTTTGGTCCTGTTCTTGCTGTGGATCTTCCTCTAAAGCATGAATATTTTTCTTTCTCTTATACAGAATCCTAATGCTCATCCAAGGCCCACCTCCCAGGATTTGGCGGGGTTTTGGGACATGCTGCAGTTGTCCATAGAAAATATTAGTATGAAATTTGATGAACTTCATCAGTTAAAGGCCAATAATTGGAAACAGATGGATCCTCTTGACAAGAAGGTAGAACAATGTAGATTTTGTATGGTTCATTTAAAAACCTGCACAAACACTGGACAGTCTAAATAGGCTTCTGCATTCAGTCCTGCTGTTTACAATGTGAAATGGAGCTGATATCATATTAACTTCATTGTAATGACAATGTTTACCTAGTAATCATTTGGGATATTATCTGTAATATGTTTCAGGCATATTTTTAAAGAAAAACCTGTCTTTGTGAATTGGAAAATGGGAATGTAGCTTTTTTTTTATTTTTTATTTTTTTGTTAATTAAACTTTAAGTTTAACCATTTTAGTCACTGGAAGGAACTGCCTCCATTTTGCTTTTTAAACTAAAATAAATGACATCTTCAGCGCATGATTCCATAGAGAAAGAGTTCAACTTCCTTATACCCTTAGGATGTGTTTCTGAGAAAACTAGGAAGCCCTGAAAAATAACTGACTTTGATAATCATTTCATAAATACAGTAATAAAGAAACCACTGTTGTTCAAGTTTAAAAATATACACCATAAAGTTTCATAGTAATCATAAATGTTGGGATTTTTTTTTTTTTTTTCAAAAATTCTACTTTTGGTTGACTTGCTTGGGGAACATTGCTCACTGGGGTCCTCATGCAACAGTTTAGAAATAAAGACTTAAATTATTTTACTTTAATTAACCAACTGTAATTGCACATTTGATTACGGTGGTTCCAACAGGCTCATACAGATATCCAATGTCTACCTCCCAGGCTGGCCCATCATGCATGATTTTTTAACCCTTTGTCCTATGACCTAAAGACAACAGTTCTAGGAGATTTAACCTCTGAAAGTTAGGAATGGCTGTGTCCCTGAAACAATGGTGACCCTGCTCTTTTCAGGTCCCCTCACTATCAGAGAGCTAATAGCAATCCAGTTCATTCCACTGTGCCCATCCTAACAGGTTTCCTGGGGTCCCTGGGCTCCCAGGAGAAATCTAGCCCAAGGTCCCATCTGTGAGTAGCAGGAGGGTGATGCTGTCATCACTGTAGTCTCTCACCTTCAAACGGGTGGTTTTTACATTAAACATGAAAGTACTATTGATGTACATGTGGCCTCTCAGTTGGGAAGCTAAACATTGGACGCCATTTCTTTATTTGTAAAACTATTTGTTAGAAAGGTTTTTAGATTGGTCTTATTTTAAGAAAACACTACAAGTGTACACATGCTGGTAATTTAGTTTCCAGTATGGATCCATCTAATTCCTCATTCATTGATTATTTAAAAATTAATTGCTGGGCTGGGTAGAGTGTTCTTAGTTGGTAGAGTGCTTGCCTTGCATGCACTAGGCCCTGGGTTTAATCCTTAGCACAAAAAGAAAAAAAATAATAATAATTAATTAATTAATTGCTAAAGAAAAAAGTTATGCAAAGAAAGGAAAATGACTAAAAAGTTTCCAGTACACATACTTTTAAAAATATGCACTGAGTTCCCCAAATGTCCCAAAGAAGTGATACTAAGAAGTATTATGTCACTTATTGCTATCCACACAGTAAATCATTAGTTAGCTTAATTTTTCTTCAGGGGCATGTACCAGGGATTGAACTTAAGGTCACTCTGCCACTGAGCCACACCCAGCCCTTTTTTTGTATTTTATTTAGAGACAGGGTCTCACAGAGTTGCTTAGAGATTCACTTTTGCTGAGGCTGGCTTTGAATTCATGATCCTCCTGCCTCAGCCTCCTGAGCTTCTGGGATTACAGGCGTGCATCACCATGCCTGGTTTAGTTAGCTTAATTTGTAAGATTTTTATTTTTCTTAATGTTCCTTGTCTATGATCAAATCAGAGCTTTACATCACCCCAGCAGCCTGAGAGAGAAAGAGAATGAAAAAACATGAGTTAGTAGAATACTGTTTGTGCTCTGTGCTTTCCATTTGTCTCCTTTCAGATCACACAGACTCCACCTTAAATAACTGTGGCAACTCCAACTCTAATACATTTTATTAGGTCCTTCTCACAGGCAAGCGAAGAGGAACTGTTGTGCAAAGCATGCATCCGTGTTAAGACCCAAAGTGACATGTAGAGAATCTCTGAATCCATATTTTAAGATAATTTTCACATTAAGTTTTATAAAGACTCGGGATATTTTATCTAAAAGGGAAACATTGAGTTTACGTGGACCTTTTCACAGCCTGAAAACTCAATATGCTTTTCCTAAAAATCCTTTGTGGTTTCAATGCCCTCCTTTCTCACTGCATTTTTTTTTTTTTTCTTGTCAAAGGGATGAATGGCTGTGTTTGGCAGTGGCTTTAACAATATCTGTTTTATGGTTTGCTGCTGATAAGAGGGATGATCTCTTCCAGTCCCTTGTTAAGTTTTCATGGCACTGTTTCTGTCCCTGTGATTAGAATTGCCTCCTGGGCCACCACAGTCATCCTGAGGAGGCCCCTAGGGGCTGATGATCCTGGAAGGATCTTTAGGAGTCCTGTTGGAATTGGCTCCTCTCCTCAGAGTAAGAAACACCAGTGTCTCCCTTCTCCGGTGACCCCGTACAGTTTATTGCTGTGTGTTGGTGTGTGACATATAAAGGGGTACATAGAACTCGCTGTGGCACCAACGAAGCTGAAGAAGACAGTCTCATAAACTCTTCCTCCTTTGGTTCCTTAAAGTCTGGGGGTGAGGGGAATGGGAGGCTGGGGGAACCCAGAAAGAGAGCTGAGAGTTTTTTCTACTCTGAACCAAGCTTTCCTCCTCTAGAGGGGCTGCAGAATTCTAGATGCTTCTGCTTGCTGCTGTGCTCTCCTGGCCCATCGCTGGCACCAGGAAGAGTCCGGAGTCTCCAGGGAGAATCACACTCTATGGGCTGGGAGCCCCAGCCTTTCAGCAGGGGGGTGCATTTTAAATTCCCACAATCCTGCCCTTGAAGAAACCTATAGTTTTGCAATCCAGCCTTACCCTTCGCCTTAGATTCACTGGGATGTCCACCCCTCCTGCATCTTTTGAATACCCAAGCCAGAATAATGAAGAAAAAAAAATAGATATGCAGTGCGCATAGGTTTAAAAAAAAGAAAAACGAAATGTGTGTACGCGTGCGTGCATGCGTGCGTGTGTGTTTGTGTGTGTGTGTGTTTTCTAACCACTGACCTATCCCAGTCTTTCCCAAGCTTGTCCTGAGAAGCTGTGTAATGTCCTGAACCTTCTGCTTTGATCAGGAGAGAAGGGCCCCTCCTCCAGTGCCAAAGAAGCCGGCGAAGGGCCCCGCGCCGCTGATCCGGGAGCGCTCGCTGGAGAGCTCGCAGCGCCAGGAGGCCCGCAAGCGCCTGATGGCCGCCAAGCGCGCCGCGTCCGTCCGCCAGAACTCGGCCACCGAGAGCGCCGAGAGCATCGAGATCTACATCCCCGAGGCGCAGACCCGGCTCTGAGCGCCGCCCGCCCAGTCTCTGTGGCCCCTCCACCGCCCCATCCCCGCAGCCGTCTCCCCCCACCCCTCCGAGCCCGTCTGTTTCTGAGCTCAGTGACTTCCACTGTCGTGGTGTAGTGGTCCACCTCGCAGGAGCCGTCCCCCCACCCCACCCCCGCGCCGTCCCGCTTCCCGAACCAATTTGCCCATCTTCACCGAGCTGCGCCCCCTTAATTTCCCGATGCCGGCCCCCTGCCTCATACAGAGATCCAACCCTTTATTTTCTGGGCCAAGCCAAACCCACCTGTGTAGAAAAGACACCTTTAGGTCACCTGCCATCCTCAGTTTTTCTCAAGCTAGTGTGTTCCTAGAGCTCAGCAATATAAAACCATAGGGTATTTCAGAAATCCAGTATCACAGGGTGATCCTTTGGGACTTTCCGTCTTCCACATGAAAGAAACGAGGGCTCCGATTCCCTTTATTTCCCCTAAATGGTTATTCTTTCTTCTTTTTTTAAAAAAAAAAAAAAAGCAGATGGAGCACTTTATTTCCAACCTCAGATTATCACACCATCTCACCCCGGAATCCATGAATGACAAAAGAGAGAGGGGACCAAGCTGGCCTGGGGGTGGGGGTGGGGGAGACCTGGATGTGTAGGATTGAAGGGAGAAGCGAAATCTGCAGGTGCTAGGGGCACCTGCACCTCTCACAGCTGCACAAACTGCCTCGCTGTTAACTTCATCAATCACAGCTTCAAATGTTTCAATCAGCAGAAGATTGTAAATTTGATCTTTCAGGGAAATTAATCTATTCTGAAAGGCAATAAAAATGAAGAAGGCAAGGCAAAGCGAAGGAAGCGCTGATGGTTTGAGATACTGCATAAGGGATTTTATTTTTTTTTTCTCCTATTTTTAAGAAAAATTTAGGCCTGAAATGTTTTCTCAACTTTTATTGTACTATGTATATTATATTGTCGTTGTGGCGGTGATTTTTAAAGGGCAAAGTGTTGCTTCTGTTAATTTAGCGTCCATCCTGGTGGACCTGGCTAATGACACACACATAAGTATACATCTCCTTCTGAAGCACTGTAAACAGCAGCAAAGCTGTTTTCAGAGAAGGGTTTGGGTTTTCCTATCATCCCTTTGAATGCTACACATCCGTCTAGTTGAACCCACTCGTTCACATTTCAGGTATATTTCCTTCTTTAGCCTCTTCTGCTTACTATCCAGAGTTTGCTCACTCCCCACCATAGGATTTTGTCCTATGTCAAATGGAGAAACTAAGTTTATTACCCCAATAGACATGCTGCCTCATTCCAAAGAGCTTTCATTGTCATCTTGAGGTTCCAGGTAGGGAGAGAAGAAGTCTGACCTGCAGGGGTCAACAGCCATGAGGAGGGGGAAAGGTTATATGATTCAGTCACAGACAGAAGTCCAGGCACTGGGCAGAGTTTGTTGGTTTACATTTTTAGTCATGATTGATGGGCAGTATGCATTGGTGTCTAGCTGAAGATGTCTTCAAATGCCCTTACTCGTAGCAGTTTAAACATTTAGAATGTGGCGATCTTAAAGTATCACTGGCATATTATGTCCAGTTCACACCTTAAAGCATTAGAAATTTGCCATTGAACAAGAAATGAAAGACTTTTTTAAAAAATAAAATATGCTTGCACCAGAGAAGCTTTTAAAAAAATAATAATAATACACTCTCATAGCCAGGTGCTAATTTAATTTTATTTAAGAGAGGTGATGGGTTCTGGCAACGAATACTTTCACAGACATATTCTAAAACCACTAGAGAATTCGCTACCTCTCAGAGCCATTGATGCTTTGAGCTATCTTTATCCACAGGGCACAAATGTTTACTGCTGTGGTTTACAAGAAAAGGGCTACTAACTTATTTAAAAAACAACCAACCAACCAACTTTTAACTAGGGTAAGCCAAGCACCTTTCTGAAAGTGCTTTGTAAAATGGGGGGAAACAGATTTTTGAGCTTCAAAGTGTTTGCTAGTTCAGAAGAACACACCATTTCTTACCTTGTAGCAGCAATGAAGTGTCACATAAAGTTTGCCGCAAGGAAGGCCAACTGTCACCTTGGGTCACCTATGGTCACAGTCACTACTGAGAATGACTTGGAACTCAGCAGAGTGACAGGAAGGAAGCAGCATCCATTCCCTAACCCATGTTCACACCCATGGCGCTGTGCCCTGAGGCAGAGTTAAGATCTGGATTAAGAAATCGATTTCTAACATGATTAAGACCATCCTACAATATTTTCTTTGGAAACTGATTTAGCCCAAGATATTTTAAAGAGAGACAAGATAAGACCTATTTATCTTGTCTAAGCGAATGGTATTTGTATATTCATAAGCTATTTTTGGTAAGAATTTTAAATCTTTTAGCTGACTGCCTACAGGGCATCATGACCTTTGCCTTCCTTAAAAAACACAGTTTAAATTGTACAAACACTTTATAAAAAGCTAATTATTGATGTTAGAACATGACCCCCCCACAATGCTGTTTGCTAACCACTTGAACCCCGAAACTGACATCCATGAGCTTAACCTTTGTTACATTGTTCTTTTTGATGTAATTTGTAGAAATGTTTTTTAGTTCATAATGGAAAATGTATGTACCCTGAAAAATTACTTATTTTGTTTAACTTTGGTACAAAGGTGTTGGGCATTTTCTTGGGGCGGGGGGGATTACAAAAGAAGTTTGTCTCCCACATCAAAAAATGTTCAAAGAAATTAAGTATTTATTATATTTTTTGCAGATGTTTCCATACAATTCACATAACCTTTTTGTAAAGAGAGATGAAGAAATGGATTAAAGATTTTTAATATTTGAAATGGTAAATAGAACTAATTTATTTGTAATATATTTCTGTTATTTATAGATGTTTCCTTAATGTTTTACTGTGCATTACCACTTTAATTTAAGCCTTATCCTTGTGAATTTACCATTTCTTTTTTAAAACATGTCTAGATGCATATTTTAAATAACTGGAATGTAAATCACTAGCATATCTGAATTCCCAAATGTAATTTTTAAAAATTATTTTGGTTCGGAAAAAAAAAAAAAGATTCATTTGAAAGCCTTCAGATGGAGGGGTGGGGAACATTTTTATGGCTTTCTGAATTGGAATTTCATAGGCTTATTTACCTAGATTGTGTGTGGATTAAAAAAAAATTGTAAATAGATGAACGTTTCCCAAATGTAAAAAGAAGAAATTAATAAAATAATTAATGCACCTGCTTTCAGGTCTGTGTGCTTTCAGTGGAGTCCTGTTTCTTCGAAAACCTGAGTAGTTGTTTTTGGAGGGAAGTAGTTCAGTGATTATTCTGAACTATTATAACATAAGCATGTTATTCTTACTTGCATTGTAACAACACGCATGCTAATACTCACTGTTGAGTATGGAGAGATCTTGCATTCTATTTAAAGGATCTCAGTACTGAAGAACTAAAAAATCCTTTTACTCTGATAATCATAGACACATGGAATTTTGAGTCAAGAGCAGCAGAAACTGTTGCAGTCAGAATCAGGTATATTTTCTGTTTGCAGTTTTTAACCCTTCAAACGTGCAAATATATGTATATTTTGCGCACTTTAATTTCTTTTGTATACATTTCACCCATTTGGTTTGGGACACAGTTCTCCAGGTAGGAAAATCAGAATAATGCTTTGTGGTTTTCATTTCATCCTCACAGTAATAAAAACAAAAACAAAAACAACAAAAAAAAAAAACTGTGCTCACTGGGACTGGGGTGTATTGCAGTGGTAGAGTATGTGCCTAGCATGCATAGTTCTCGGGTTCAATCTCAGCATCATCACACATACACATGCACACAAAGAGCAGGGCGCAGTGGTGCATGCCTATAGTCCCAGCGACTCAATAGCCTGAGACAGAAGGATTGCAAGTTCAAGGCCAGTCTGGGCAATTTGGTGAGATCCTGTCTCAAAGAAAAGAGAAGAACTGGAATGTAGCTCAGTCGTTAGACTGCTCCTGGGTTGGATCCCCAGTAATGCAAAAAGAAAAATCAAACTGCTTACTGAGGTTTAGTGACTTGCCCTCCAATGACACAATTTTTAATGAACAGATTTGAATCTAAAATGCAAGCTTTTATTCAATTCCTTCTTCAGGGTCATCTCTATTGTTCTTTTCATTTTAAAATTGGTAATTATTCTCACTATCAATTTCACCTGGCTTTCATCTAGGTCATATTCATAAACCTTATTTTACATGCACAAACAGGGCGAAAAAGTTAACTTTGTTTTACAAAGTGCATTTGCACTCATCTGTTAGTTGAAAATGACACAACTCTAAAACCTGTGTCCACAGTGTTTCATTCCCAAGCCCCACCTAGTTCATGGACAAATCCATCCACTTCTATGTGGCAAACTTGGGAACTGGTAAGCACAGTAGCCACTTTTTTCCAATTTTTGTACATAAGCAAGACCTATGCAAGTCACCAAATTAACACCATGTACTTTTTTGTGGGGGCAGGCGTGCTACCTGGGATTAAACTCAGGGACACTCAACCACTGAGCCACATCCCCAGCCTTATTATATGTTTTATTTAGAGACAAGGTCTCACTGAGTTGCTTAGCACCTCGCTTTTGCTGAGGCTGGCTTTGAACTCTCAATCCTCCTGCCTCAGCCTCCCTAACTGCTGGGATTATAGGTGTGTGCCACTGCACCTGGTAACACCATGTACTTTTGAAACTGCTTCAAAAGAGGAATGATCCAGCCATTGAATCCCTGTGAGATTACAACAATCTCATTATTTTGGTGCATGTACTAACTATTCATGTAATCTGAACCTTGATCATATTTCTCTTTTCACAAATTAATTCTTCTATTTCATTGAGGCTCCTAACCATTTCAGCCAATTCCCAAACGAAATGAGTTAGCTTTTGAAGGTAGAAATTCAAATTTCAGTGACATCATTTCCCATGTTACAGGGTCCACCTTTCCCACCCTACAAAAAAAAAAAAGGAATTTAATTTTTTATAGAAATTGGACAAAATTGTTTGCTTTGAACATGCTGTTCTTTTATATATATATATATATATCTTTGAAATTAATTCACCCCTTGAGAATATACATTGATTTTGGTTTAAATAAATGACATATTAAAATCACCGTGTCTGAATGTGTTCATTCTCTAATGCCATTGATAATAAAAAGTGCTGAAATTTACTTCTGGTTTGCTCAGTGGGCTGACTTTCAGCTGCTAAACCAAGATGAAATCAATTTCTTTTGCAAACAGAAACTAGCGGCCCTGTCTGAAAACCCTCTCTAGGTCCTAATTTACTAGTACAAGTTTACAAAACAGATCTTAAATTATCCTGTAAATCAGGTATTATCTCCCATGAAGCAGAGAGTGGAGAATAGTGCTACTTCTTGATGCAATGTTGTCCTCTGGGCTTACTACTGGCTCAGGAGAGGCAGCCTCAGAAAAATCACAAGAATGTGAAGCCCCACTGTGATTCCTGTGTCTCAATTTTGGCAGTCAAGAGATTATTCCCATACATCTTCTATGTGATTAAGCACAAGCCTGAATTTACAGAACGTGGCCAAAAGCAAGCAAGCTTTGCAGCAAATGCCAAAAGTCAAGCTCTGCCCTGGAGCTGACCAAACTGTTGCCATTCATTGCACAAAATGCTTTCACTACGCTGATAAAGGTAGTCACTCTCGCTCTTCTCATTTTTAGACTGTCTTGTTTGGAGAAGGAGATGCTAATTTCATCTGGAAACTTGATAGGTCAATCAGTGTCACTAAGAAGCTTCTATTGAGTTAGAAAGGGGGAGGGGAAACAGTTGTCTCTTCTGTTACATAGGGAAAAAATGCATTCTTCCTATTGGCTCTGCAGGGGGTTCTTAAACAACGAGGACAGCTCTCTGTAATCCTAAATCCTGGTGTTTTGCTGTTTCTGAAGGCCAGTGGTTTACAAATAGAAATATTCCTGCACAGAGAGGCTTCTGAGATTTGCATATACAGCTGTCCTTCCTCACCATTAGGGATGCAACCAACTGCACATCAGAAATATTTCAGGGGGCAGGGGGGCTAAACATGTACAGACAGTTTTCCTTGTCATTATTCCATAAATCATACAGCACAACAACTACTTACATAGCATCTACATTGTACACTAGTACATTGTACATTGTACACTAGTACATTGTACACTACATTGTACACTAGTACATTGTACATTGTAACAAATCTAAAGATGACTTAAATGTATACAGAAGCATATGTGCAAGTTCTGTGTGAATATGACACCATTTTATATAAGGCACTTGAGCGTCCACAAATTTTGGTATCCAAGGAAGGTCCTGAAATCAAGGATACGGAGAGATGGCTATATAGTCATTGGTTGATTGATACTTCCTTCTTTCTAGGGCTTTCAAGTCCAACGCCTACCAGTAGCTTCAATTATGAAAGATGAGGAGAAACATGGAAGGAATTACATGATACTGTATTTGGCCCCATAAGGTATAGTCAAGGAAACATCTCCCTAGATTAAAATTAAAAATTCTACTAAATGAAAAGGGGAGGTCTATTTTAGAAGGATTTGTTTGTTTGTCTTGGGGAATACTTTCTTACTGTAGAACATGTTTACTTCTGTATGTGACACTTTTAAAATACCAGATTGGTCACTTCTTTTCCTTCCAGAATAAGACCCCCCACTGTGCTTTAGGACATCAGCCAATGTGAACTCTAATTCCCAAGTGGGAGAAGCAGCAGCCTGAAAAGACAGAACACAACATAGGTGACAAAGAGTCCTTTAAAGACTTGACCCTGGAATTCCTTTCCAGTTTGACTGAATCTGTCCCATTTCTTGAGTATCCTCCTCTCCTCCCAAGAGGGTTTAGGGAAAACTCTTCTCTTCAGTCTAGACTCTGGGAGGGCTTGGTGAGCCTGAATTTCCAACATTGAGCTTTGCAAACATGAAAGCCGCTCAAGGGCTCCCAAATTTTTTCTGAAGATTAGTCAAGCAAGGTAATAAATCTGGAAAGATTGAAGAGGATCCTTTCCAAGGAGCTGGTATCTTCATATCTAGTCTTGGGTTGGTGCACCAAGGAGCCCTTGATTAGAAAGCTGAAATCCACGGAACCTTACAGAGTGAAAACTTGATCAATCATTTGGAAAACTGGAACAGTGGAGACATGTTGGCACAGGAACTTGGGGATTTCCAAAACGAATTCAAGGGAGTGTTAAGCACTTTGTAAACAGTGGTGAAGTGAGCGGGTGGGGGGCTCTATTCGGATAATTCTGGATAATTCTAGAAACAAGGAAAGAAAGCTTAACATCTTAATAAGGAGGATCTAAGATATTTTAGCTTTAGCCTACTTAGGATTTCTCAGTGGTTAGATTCATCATGGTCTCAAGGGTGCTTGATCTGCATATAGGTTATGAGGAGGTCAAGGGCCAGTTATTCTTCTAGCAAAGATAACACATTAGAATTGGGTTAAATATTCAACTGAGAGAATTTAGGTTAAACATTAAAGAAGTGCTTACCTAAGACAATTGTGAGATCTAGGCTACCATGAGAAACTTGATACCACGTGAGAATGACAGAAATCTGTCACCTGAATGATCTTTGTCAAAGAAGGCAGGTCTTTCAGGGCCATAGTCTAAATTTGTCTGTAAGATGGTAAGTAAACACATAAAACATGGCTTTCTCTACCTCAGGATCCCTGTTGGCTTCAGCCCAAAGTTGTAATTCTCCTGCAGGGTTTCTGTCAGCAAATCCAGGTTCACAAGATTCACGAAGACGAAGGGAAAAGTCCCCACACACTGTATTAGTATTACCAAGGTATTATTTTGCTATTTTTGCTTTTTTTTTTTTTTTGCAATGCTAAGGATAGAATCCAGGGCTTCAAACATGCTATGCAAGTGCTGTGTGTCATTTTAATGATAATATTCTGACTTGTGGTAGGGTAGGAAAGCCCTGCTATAAGTTTATAATATGCCAATATTCCTGGCATTTCTTTCTTTTGCAGGGATGGGGAGGAATACTGAGAATTGAACCAGGGGCACTGGACCATTGAGCCACAACCCAGGTCTATTTTGTATTTTATTTAGAGACAGGGTCTCACTGAGTTGTTTAGCACCTCGCTTTTACTGAGGCTGGCTTTGAACTCATGATCCTCCTGTCTCAGCCTCCTAAGATGCTGGGATTACAAGCATGTACCACTGTGTTGGGCAATTCCAGCATTTCTTTTAGAAACTTGACTTACCCTCTT